ATATAATAATATATTATAATGAATACAATATTGTAAAAAAGAATGTATACATTTAATTTATATAAAAGATCGTTTTCAATTAAATTATTTTCAAGCAAATCTTAAAAAATGTCATATACATATAGGATGAGCAAAAGTTTTAGATAAAAGTTATATGATTTGAAGTGTACAAATAACAGTAAAATTAAAAAAGATAATTTTTCATGGTTATATGAATTAAGATTACAGCCATTTTTTTAAAATAAAATTAGACTATTTTTTTTACATAATATGATTTCCCTTATTATTTAGCACATAAAAATATTAACATATTGCCCATTTTTTTTTCTAAATTTTGTTAATGCCATGCTGCCCATGCCATAAGTATCAACTTTTAACTTTAAAACGCATTTTGTTTTGATATGAATTTTTGTTGAAATATATATAATTTGAAAATATATGTTTTGTCAATTTCATGATTCTTTCGATTTAATATGATTCGATTATACAATACATTAAGAAAATTTATCTCAGAAATATATCTGCCGATTTATTTTCGGACTTTCAATACAAAGAATCTGAAATATTAATAATCCCCAAATTTATTTAGAAACCTTAAAATTTGTAAAGAAAAATTGTTGCGAAAAATATTACCATAGTCGGGTTATATTTCTAAAATAAGTTTATTTAAAATATATATGTATACATATTAGTTTAGCATTTAGTACAAGCTCGAAAATAAAAGTTTATCAATTTCTCCTTTGTATCGGAAAGTCACTTTTGAAAAGTAATGCGTAACAGTAATAAGTTATTTTTAAAAGCGATTTCTTCATCCTTGTTATTACAGTCATGAAAAATTGTAACGTCATTACTATATTGTTACTACAAAAAATATATCACTGCATATACCAAGTTCATACGTATATTGATAATGATAGTCGCTTTTTATCGATTCAACAATATTTTACAAAATTGCATAAATGCGTTTGTTAAAATAATTTAATTTTTTTCATTTTTTTAAATTGCGCCCCCAAGCATTCTTGATATTTTGATATTCTGGGGTTCAAGCCTGAAAAGCACATCAAAAGCTACTGCAATTATATGTATAAGTACAAGTATAAAAGTATTTACTTTCCTATAATACAGTATTAGGCAGAATAACATTTTTTATGAAAAAAATAACTGTTTTTAATGATTTAATTTATTGATATCTCTCATGAAGGGAAATTCATGGTAAGACGAAATAAAATGCGTTTTAAAACTAATAAAAGGTGATACTTTTGCGTTAACGAAATTTAAAAAAAGGATTATTCAACTCATGTTATAACATCATAAAAGCTCTCAAAATTGTCAATTTTTATCTCCTTGATATTATTTTTCTCAAAACTGTAATAGTTTAACTTAAAAAACAATACGTATTCTGCAAAAATACATTAAAAACAAGTAAAATTGTTGTAAAAAAATATAATATTAGTTATAACAGTGTAAGATATAAAATATATATGTAATTAAGAAATATAAAGCAAGATTTGAAATTGTACTGTTATTTCGCACTTTTTAAAAGAAAAAAGGAAAGATGTAGAGAGATAAGCGTGGCTATTTACATTTATCTTTCTTTATAAGAAGCATTAAATAAATATAAAATATATATATTATTTAACAACCTTTAGATACATATGAAACATATTTTGAGCAATCTCCTTCATATTATCGGATATCTAGAAACAATTAATGATGATGATTTTACTAAATCCTTAAGACAAGAAGCTGCAAGATGGGCATGTACTCTCGGCGTATTCCAATGCCTAAATAATGCCAGTTTTCATTTATTACATCATCTTCGCAATCCTGATGGGCATAGGTAATATATTTTACAATTTCTTGTATTAATATATTGTACATTTCTTTCGAACTATTTAACTGTAAAAGTATTTGCTCAAGATACGAGAGCATAAAAGAATTTCTGATAGATTGTTATATTTTCTGGAAATATAGAATTTTATCATGGTGGAAAAGATGGACATTTTGTAATGGTCTTATGGAGTCTGAATTTGATAACAGCACTTGGTGGTTACTGATACATGGAATACTTATGATACATGGAAAAAATCTAATGATAACGCGATAATGGAATTTGCATCTTGCAGTAGATCTTCTTATGTTATTTACAATTATTTGAACCTAACAATTAATACATCGGAAAATTGTAATTCTGGAAATGAATGTAAGGATGTAAATATACTAGCCAAAAAACGTGTTAATCGTTTCTTGTACATTGTTGCAAAATATGCAAAAGAAAGCACAATACTTGAATACATAAAAGAAAATTATGAAAAAATAAAACTAAAGTAATGTTATTTTCTTAACAAACATACATTTTCTCTCTATTGTAAATATAATAAATGTTGTATGCATTAATTAAAGACATATTATTTTATAGGGAAGTTAGTACTATTACAGCATTTGCTATTATTATTAACCATATATATTCTTGGGAACAACTTGAAGAGGTAAATTATAATTTTATCATCATTTTAAATTATATTAATATTCTATTATTAATTTTATTTCTTTAAGCCATCTTTTGTGGCAATAATACTAAATACTACTATTGCAATTATATTAAACACAGAAACTATGATGTGTTAAAAATCTTTTAATATGTAGAGTAAAATCATTCATTATTTATATGATTATTAAACATCAAAATATCTATTTCAGGTAAGAAAAGTAGTGAAATATCTTCTACAATATACAGAAACAAAATTTATTAATGATATTCTCCATATATTCCTTGATCACACGGTGTATCTTAAAAAGGTAAAATTGATTTCTTATAGAATATTCAATTTTTTATTGTTGAGAATATATTTTTCTTTATATATTCTATCTATTTGAATAATATTTTGTTTTAATTACTTTATAATTATATACAGAAATCTTTTTATTCAAAAATAATGTATACAAAATTTTTATCGTGTAAGAATAAATTATTATTCAATATATATATGTACATAATTTATTATTATTATTATTATTATTATTATTATTATTAATAGATTGCTGATAAAAAATTAAGATAATCTGTTTTAGATAAACAATTACGTGAGAAACAAATTAAAATTGGTATTTGATCACATTTCAAACAAGATAGCAAAACGTAGACTTGAAATTTCAGAACAAAAAGTTATGTTTGATAATTTGAAAAATAGAAATAAGTAGAATAATCAATTTATTTGATCAGAAGAAAATGATACATGTACTGCGAATAACTCATTATTTGTTAAAAAAACATTCAATCACATTTATGTAATTATTTGTTAGTGTTTTAATAAAAATTACTTTACAATTAGATATACAGAATGCTTATTTAATTATGCAGTGACTTGTATAAATTGTGCAAGTAATAAGATACAATTATTGATAATCTTACCTCGCATTACCTTATTATATTCTTATTATGATTAAAAATCGAATAATAAGACGTTGTAATATCACTAAATAATTTTGATTACAGATATTGTAAATAATTTTGAAATAATAAAACATCGTAAAATTATTTTCTTTTAAGAAAAAAAGGATCCAAATACACATGCCTCTTAAAAAATAATTGTTAGTCAATTACATTTAAGAGGATGCTGAAATAACAAACATTATAGTCGTATAAACATGTTCGAATAGACGAAACAGAATCAAAAATTCTTTTACAAGATTAAAGCAGACAAAAAATTAGAAAATTGGACATAAAAGTTAAAAACTTACATTTTTAAAATAACTCGTAGAACCGTTACCTGACATAGACGTTTTCTTAATATAAAAACTCTAACAGACAAAATGATATTGCGTCACTCGTCGAATAATAATCTGAATAATATTGAGTTTATTTAAAAAGATTTATATTAATTTACAAATTATGTATATATATATATATA